GTGGTGACGACGTTGAGCTGCTTTCGATGGCGGCCAAGTAGGCTGACGCAAAGTGGCCCTTCTTTTGAAGGGCAGATGGACCGAGTTTTGACGGGGATTGCGATGCTACTGCTGATGGTTTCTGGGTGGTGGTGGTGGCTACCCCTGGTGCAGAGGTTACGGGGCTTGAGGGGTTCAATCGAGATTTAGGAGAGGTGGTAGCCTCGACCTTTTCCGTGAGACTATCCGCAAGGGAAACCCCCTGAGACAGCGTGTGGTTCGGTGTCACATGGCGATTCGTCGGCGGTTGAGGAGCTTTGAGGACGGTAGCGGGTGCGTTAGGGATCGCAAGGAACGAAGTGAGTTTGGACTTGGATTTGGCCACGGATGAAGCTTTCGTGGATGATGGGGTTCCGGGAGATGATGCTGATGGTGGTGTGATGGTGGTGGTGGTGGGCGTCTTCATGGCAACTTTTGGTGTCGGCTGGCTGCTCGGCTTAGCGGATGAGGCGGTTCGAAGTGGTACTGGTGATCGCTTCACATGAGGAGACGACGATAGCGGCGGCGGTGATGGCGGTGATGGTGGAGTCGGTGGAACCAAGGTCGCTTTGGTTACTTGAGGGGGTGACGTGGTAGATGTCGTCTTTGATGCTGTGGGTAGAGTCGCCATGACGGGGTCGATCGCTGTAGGTACGACTGACGCGGTACTTGTACTGGTGGTGGTCGTTGTGGTGGTGGTACTGGTACTGGTGGTCTTGACACTCGACTCGTGCTTGCTGACCTCGCCGTGTTTGTTTGGCAACGCACGATTCGATTTGGGTTTGAATTTGGTTTCCAGCGCCTGCAGACACGCCAACACCGCGACTTCGTCCTGCTCGTCGATGAGCTGTGCAGACGTGAACATGGCGTTGTCGTCTATCAACGCACGATCCCGCGCCCACCGCAGGAACAACGACACACTCTCGAGGGCGTGGTACGTGCGGAACCGGTCACGAGGTCGGACGCGCACCTCGTTGGTTTCACTCAGCGCATTCGCCAGCATGCACAGGACTCGTCCGTCGCGGAGGTACGTACATAGCGATGCGTCGGGCGACGGCGGCGGCTGCTTGGTCAGAGACTCGACCCAGCCCACCGCAGCATGTGGGGTATCCATGGCAAAATTGCGAGTACGTACATCGTTCGTATGGGATGATCCTTCGGATACGACTTTGTGTATCCGGAATCGCCGAGTCTTTACAAACATGTCAAGAACAATGTCAGGAACAATGCAAGTGGTTGATGTTAGTTAGAGGGCCATGAACGTGCGGACAATCGCTGGTACAGTACAGTTGTAAGCGGCCTTACACTACTGTAAGCAGCTGCATTCTTTGCATTATACGATTACTGTATACGATTCCCAGAGGTTCAGTGTATGTGTGAATTGCATATGGTATTTTCAACGACTACAGTCATGACATCATGCCTATAATTTAACGATTAAGCCTATGATTTGTATTGGAAGGGTACGACGTCGACATCACATGGATTGCCAATGTGGTCGTTCTTTCGATTTCGTTGTAAAATAGCTTGGGTTTACTATGGCAAGCACACATCCACCTCACAACATAGCATTGGCGCAAGTGATATTGAGATTTACTACAGTATTCTAGCATCGTCTGTACACTTCTCAATCGTTGCTGCGGAACGGAGGACATCTTTGCTTACAGCATTGCCATTTTGGGGTCTACTTAGTATTAATCGAGAGGTTTTGCAATTCAACATTTGTCGTTTTGTTTCAAATTAATATGACGAAACAAAAGCATGATGAATTTTAACGTGCACATATTCCCCGAACGGTTTCAAACATGAGGAGATTTGTATATATTGAATTATAATACGAATTAAAATTCGATTCAATATAATACTGTCATTCTCCACTGGATTCAAAGCTGTATTAATTAAATTTGGATCAAATTTAAAAACAACGAGTAAAACAATTCACTTCGCACTTGCCATTTCGCTGGGGTCGCATGAAGGTCCTCCATGGAATGCCACTCGCCGTTGGTCTTGACGCGTTTGCGCACAACCGGCTTCGCAGGTAAGAACAGAATGTCTTCGCGTACCCCTTCCCTTGTCTTGATCCACGATCCCGTGCCAACGGCGTCCTTGATTCCATTCGCTTTTTACATGTAGATGCGAGAGAACATACGAGGCAACGACATCGGCAACACACCACAGGTACGAAATCAATTTTGAACCAATGGGGGTCTTACTGCTCACCGTTGGTTTGGAAAGGTCAACAAACGTCGAAGCGATGGCAATCGCCTTCGACCGAGGCAACATCCACGAGCTCGACGCCCGTACCCACCACAGTCAAGTATATGCTGCTAATCATTAATTCGTATTAATTTAGGTTGGCGTGATTAGAATTGGTTGAGTTTTCGTTTGAACTCCAAGTATATAATTACTGCCATGAATATTATCACTACCAATCAGTGATGTTTACGCCAAATTAGAGTAATCTGATTGGATAAAACTCGAATCGTTCGGAAGTTTCATGCCGTTCGGAAGATTGATGCACTACCTTAACGTTAATGATGACGTAATTGATTACCCGTGTAGCGTATATACTTAGGTTGTTAGACAGCCCTATAGATTTGGACTCCTCTGTAAAATTATATAATCCTCTGTAAAATTATATAGTAGGAATATTACACTTGATTAATGTATGCATATAGTAATAAGCACTATCCGTATCCGGATACTTGCCCCGCCACTGTCCAAATCTATATACATTACACGGTATTGTGTTTTCCACATCATTAAGGGAAGTTCCGGTATTGTCATTAGTGGCAAAGGGTAATCATAACGATGAGTTGCAAAACCTCTAATAAGCTTAGCGGTACATTGTAGTAAAGGGGACTAATGTGTACTTCATGTATGGCAGTCATGTTTTATATGTCCTTCAATATGTCTGTTTCGACCAGTGAGTCCACGGTTATAAGCACTATACGGAAATGTGGTATCCGAAACCATCCGGATACCATAGACCATTTTGGCGCGACGATGGCAAGGCAGAGGCGGCAGCGCCAACTTGCCACAGGGATGAAGGCAGGAAGTTTGCTGCAGTACTTTAGTGTCCAGCAGCCTATTACAGAGCACGATGCACGTGTAATTAGCGCGCCGCTGTCCAAGGCTGAGAACGTTATGATCCCAGGCAGCCCCAAGTCCTGCGACGACTGTGCAGAGGCCAAGTCCCCCAGCAGCCCACTTCAGCCAGCTGTGCCATCACACGCCTCAGTAGGGGCTTCTCCAAGCGACACCACTAGCCACGTAGTACCTGTCATTCAAACGGGGTCTTCAGCTCTGCCCAAAGGACTTGCCGAGTCTACCGCCAGCGATCTCGTGCACACGTCGCCGCCGCAGGTCATTGCCCCACTTGACTCTAACGAATCCGCCTCTGTCGAAGATCCCGCAACACCGGACGAGGCAAAGGGTGCTCTAAAGGGTACCCTTGGTCATTCGTCATCGCATTCACATGACCGCCAGAACAAAAAGGTCAAGCTGGACGACTCTGCTCTATGCGCTTACGAACAAGAACGATTGGCCAAGATCCGACAGAACGCAGCGTTTCTGGCCTCTCTCGGCATCGATCACCTTCCGCAACCTCGTCGCACTTCATCCATCCAGAAACCCAAACCTCGTCGCAGGCCTCCGTCCTCGCCTCCTCCCGTCGCCCTTCGGCGGTCCTCGCGCCAACTGGCAGCCGGGGGGGTCGACAGTGCCGTCTCCACCGAAGAGCCAACACCCAAACAACCTCCAACCCGTCAACCGTTCGATGTATTTCCAGACACATCGGTCCTCGTTCAGTACCTGTGCGATACGCCAGGAAACCCTACTCTGTCACAGTCGGTTGCAACAGAGTGCAGCACCGTGTCACAGCAAGGACGGGGGTTCGCCACCACACCATCGTCCCACGACCGCGTCGACACAAACCTCAAGCGGGTATGCCCATCCTGATAAAAGCTGCTTCTCCAGTCAACTAGATACTACTTCGTAGGTGTATTCGATGGCGTCGACTGGGCGGCTGCTGGTGGCGGCAGGTCACAACGGGTACCTGTCCTTGTACTCGTGTGACGTGGCGTACCAGTACGTGACTACGAACCACCTGTGGTCGGAAGACAAATATATTTTGATTGTCGTTTTACAATCAATTTGGCTGACTTTTTGGGCTGATTCTTTGCCAAATCTATTTGATTTGGCCGAGTTATGCAAAAATACCAGTTCGATGGTGTCGCCAACTCTTAAATCACACACGATGTGGCATTGGTCGACGAGTGGATAATTTCTGATTGGCTACTTGATTATTGATCTGGGTTTTGATTGGTCGAATATCGATTGTGTGCCGATTTGGTCGTTGTGCGCATTCGATATATATATATATATATATATATATACCCAAACACTCCAATTTTGAATCGACTGGACACTAGATATATCATCGTTTTTGATTCCATATTTTCTGTCATTAAGTTAACCAAAATTTGGACTTGTACGGAAAATTCGCCAAATCGATCGATTGTCGTTGTACTGAATTTTGTATGTAAACAATCAGTGGTTTCCTGTGGTGATTTGTATCCCACGAATTGAAAAGTTTCACACTAATTTGATGTTTGTGATGGTGGTTTCCTGGAATCTGATTGGCTCAAGCCTACTTCTGTCGATGATTCTTGTGTACATATATATATATATTTGGCAGTGTCAATATATTTAGTCTCCACGTCGTCGTTCCAGTGTAGAAGAATATAAACACAATATTGTCGTTTTACCCAATATTTGACTAACTTTTGTGCTGATTCTTTGCCAAATCCATCGGGGGATCGATTCTTCCGACTGACTTTTGGATGTAACATTCGTCCAGTATCACACTAATTCAAGTCACACACTAATTCGATATTCCCTTGGTCTAGGAATCGTGGATCATTTTTGATTGGGTACTTAATGATCTGGGTTTTGATTGGTCGATATATATCGATTGCTGCTGTTCATTCGGTTTGGTTATTCTGGTCATTATTATAGACCAACCCATCCCACTCGAATTCCAAATATAAACACAATAATATCATTGATTAGATCAACTCCACTGTTGTCGTTTCGGGCTCATCAAGGCTGGTGCAGCGGCGTAAACTTTAACCTGACGTCGCCAGCTCAAACTCGAATGATTACGGCAGCCAACGACGGCTTCGTGAAGCTATGGGCTGTCGATCCATCGACTTTGGTAATGTATTACTAGTTGTTGATATATACTGGAGCTCAGTGGAACGATGAAGGGGCTGGCCTTATTGGGCTCGACCAACTTGCATTCGAACAGCGGGATCTTTAGCTTGGACGTTCAAACCTGCGATGCTGTGATTGCAACCGGGTCAAAAGATTACACCGTCGCGCTCTCGGCTGTGACACAGTCCCACTTGCAATTGTACGTGATGAACGACGTAAAAAAATGTAGTACATACGTATATATATTGTGCTTTCGAATGAAATTTCATTGTGTTGTGGTTTTTCGGTGGAATTTAAATCGATTTGATTGGCTTCCTCAGATGAGCTCAAAATTATTAGCCAATCAAAACCTTGTCAGTGAAATTCAACAACCAATCAGATTGATTGTGGATCGGTTTGGTTGGCGCGATTCGATTGCACCCCCTCCCGAAATTTGTATCAAATCGACAATACAACAACGATCTTTTCACGATATATAAAATCTCCCTATTCGTGCTTGTCGTTGGATGAACCATGCATTAAATATATATATATATTTACAGATGGTGATGTGATACTATTTGTGGCCATAGGGTGCGCACATTGGACCACCATACTGGCGTCGTCAAGTGCGTTCGGTTTTCTGCGACAGAGCCAACCATGTTGGCCAGTTGTGGCAACGACCTGACAGTTCAAATCACAGATCTGCGATGCCGTTCGTCTGTTGCTGCGACCTGCCTTGTTCAAGGGGGCCATACCCGCGCCGTGAATAGGTAGGTACTAGTATTTCCCTTCTGAAATATAGTTATATATACAAAGTGCCCAAACCAATCGTTCTATATCATGTGTGGATTCGAATGGTGTCAACAAACTATATAATATATATTATATATATATATACTCCTGATATATATGTATAGTGTACACGGCGACTACGTTCGTGCTCGTCGACCTTCCTAATAATGTGGTCACATGACACACAGAAACGGATGGTCCTTTTTCCTTCAATATATATATACATACTGCTTTGACTCGGTAGTGGAATATATATATAGATATATATATATGTATATATAAAAGGTGTCCTGATTCAACTTTATTTACTTTTGTCAAGAGTTATTCGAATGGTAACATCAAAACACATAATATATATTTATATATATATATATATATATATATATATAATATAACTGTCAAATATTCGTACTCGTCGATCTTCATAATGGTGTGGTGGTGACGACACACTGAACTGTATCGTTCTTTTCCGTTTATTCGTCCACTATTCGTTACTTGTATGGGTTACAGTATATATATATATATATATATATATATACCCATCTTGTGCATGCAAATATATAGCGTGCGGTGGGCGCCAACGTGCCGTCATACGGTCGTATCCACAGGGTTTGACGGCAAGATCCTGGTGTGGGACATCCGGCAGCACGACCGCGGCCCCTCTGTCACATATGCGACATCGGAATTCAAAACCATGTTTCCAGTGGAATTCCTCGCCCCGAACCAGGTCGTGGCGGGGGTTGATCGTGCGTTGGTCGTGTACGACGTGAGGACCCACGACGTGCGCAGTCGCGACGACCTCGAGTACGATGCCGACTCGGTTCTGGTCAAGGACAGGGTGGTGGTGGCGGCGCATCGGCAGACGCTGTCGACGTTTCAGTATATGGACACTGTACAGTAGGTACATATCACGGGTTCGTAATATATATATATACTGGCATGGCCACCCAGCAGAGACAGTTAACCGCCACAGATATATATATTTATATATTGTCAAATCGATTCGAAACCGA